GTTCTGTTAGTCCGCTGTTCTGAATGCGCTTATTCTCTCTGCTGTAGTGTGCGTCAGTGTAAGTATTTTTGGCATACAAGGTACCATGACATATAATAGCGTGTGATGTGACAATATTAATGTCACTGTTATGTATCATGTGCCACAGGTGTGAAGTGAGAACATTTGTTACAAGTAATGGGGTTTTATTGGCAGTGGACTTAAGAAAAAACATATTGATAAAATGTATACAGCCAACTCGGCCCCTTTCCTGTTAGATAGCTAGCAGAGCATCCAGGCACTTGTATATTCCACGCAAGTTCTGTCGTCCATCTTGATTTTTCTGTTATCCACCAAGGAAATTTCAATGACTTCTTTTCTCCATTCCCCCTCCTCAGCTCACTGATTAGTTTTCTTTAATTTTCTTTGGGCCTGTTCAGAAACAACTTGATCCACGGACTAACTGATTCTCGGATCAAATATGGCCGACCCACTTGAAAACTTGCTGCGTAATCCCGTAACAGATTCCTCGCAGAGATAACACCACAAGATTTCAAGTGGGTCAGTTAGTACGCGGGTCAACTTGGTTCTCAAAAAGCTCTTTCACTTCGTATTTTTATGAATCTTTCTTTTATATCTTCCCTCTGTCCATTTCTCCTTTTCAGATTCTTTTCTTTATAAAATAGAAGTGTTGTGTGCAAGGAAGTTAAAATTACTGAATTAACATATAGGTGCATCTATACACAGTTTATAATATAATTAGGCTAGCAAATGTCAAAATCTTCCGAGTCATATTTTCATTTTTTTTTTTTATTCATCTATTTTCGATTGCATGCATAAAATATTTACCATTGTATGACGACTCTCTCGGAAAGCATGTGGAATAAATTTTAGTTCTCTGTAGGGATAGGTCAGATAAGGATTAATGTGCCATCAGCTATATGACAGGTAACAGAATATACAGAGAGAATGAAATAAACCAATGCAGGTCCAGAGAAAAAAAATTTTATTACCCAAGAAAGCTCGAATTTCATTGATATAAATCCCTCAAATAATAATTTTTGGCCAGGATAAAATTACTTCATCACTCCAATCCTTGTCCTTTTTTGTGGTTTTGTATTACCATAAGCATGGCATGTATTTGATCGCAGACTTGACCCCAAACGCCTTTTTTTTCGTAAGTAATAGATGTGTTATGAAATAGTCCGAAAAACAAATTACTGTGGTGTTTATACGCCCTTGAAAAAAATAATCAAGCATCAGATGACAGTTGAAGTCACCTTCTTTGATGAGAAATGAATTCAGCAAGCAAATATGAAATGTGGCCAAGTGCAATGTGATGTAAGATTTTTCCTTCCACTGCAATCTTAATGGGGACATGTAACTAAATACAAAAGAAGATGACGTGTCTACATGAAATCATCTGGACCCGGTTTCACAAAAAAACTTAAGTCAGGTTCCCTGGCTAAGAACTTTTAAAATTAACAAGTTTACATGGGCACATCTTACCCTATCAGGAACAGTGTAACAGCACTCTCATGGAAAGCCTAGTCAACTAAGCCAGGGAACTGACTTTTTTTTTTTTTTTTTTTTTTGTGAAACTGGAGCCTGCACGCCAAGGTCAAACTTGGAACAAGTTGACTGAAGGTTTGTTTACCCAGGTGATCTCACATGAAGATGTGCTTAGATAAAAATTCAAACCTAAACTGGTTTAGGTCAAAATGACATCACCCGAGACCAGTTGGACGATGGCGTCCATTCTGTCTCAAAGAATCTCGGAGTAGATGTGCATAGAATTAGTCAGAGAAATATATATGTGATGTATCTGGTGAAAAAATCACTGTGGCCCTGGTAAAGGCTAGTCTGAGGTTGCTGTTGTTTAACTTTTACAGCTGTACTGCCTTATATTAAGTGCAATAAGCAAGGGCTAATTATAAATTATTAAGTTGTAATATATAAAAAAACATCATAAATTAATTTATGACTAATTAATTAGGTTGAATGTGGAAGTCCTGTCTAAATCTATATTTAAATGCAAAGGACAAAAAAAAAAAAAGACAAAATAAAAAAAGTATTACGATGGGACTTTGGTTTTGCTGAAATAAAAAAAAATTGTGTGCCTCGTCAAGGTGCACATCTGTTTTTGTAGTATGTAAGCTAGACTTTTTTTTGTCTAGTTTTCATCATTTTGTCCCAGGACTAATGGTAGAACAAAGTTAACATTGGACATCACATCATCAATCACAACTAGGCTGAGCAGATACATTTTCTTCTGATTTGAATCGATAAAACTAATGGCGCAAAAGCAAAAACAAAAGGCTAAAAAAAATGAGAGAAAGCACTTTAGGTGGAGCAGACACTGATATTGATTGTTTTGATGATATTTTGCAAACAACTAAAAGCACTGTTTTGTCTTGCATGTATAAAAACTTCACTCTTTGTATCAGTGCCTTTAATTTATGCTACTGATTGGTCTGATATAATTAGCTAGTACATGTATTATATTGGCGAGGGTGCATGCATGCATGCATTTTTGTGCATTTGGCGTAAAAAGCCTACTAGTAAGTGCAGCAAAGTCGGGACAGAAAGCCAAGAATGAATCTTCTGGAATTTTTTCCACAGTATTTGTCAACAAGTTTTGTTCTTAGCAGCATTGTCCAGTTTGGGGCACTTAAGAGGTTTTATCAACAACCTGAAACGTCAACACCAGTCTCTCTCGCCTTTTGTTCATAATATAGGTCACCTGTTTCCCTGCTGAAGCATCCTGTTTATTTACACTTTCTCATGCTTGTGGTTTTTGCAGGGGGCTGTTTCTCAGCACATATTTATAGGATGCACTGGCAAAGGTTGTCTTAGCAGGGCATAACCAGCACATGATGCATATGTATAACCGTCTATGTTGAGTGGATTTGAAGTATATATAATTTCTGGTGCGAGGAAGCAAGGTGGGAGTGTCCTACTTGGTGGACTATATAAACTTGTAATGGGCTGTTTGTTTACTACATGCATTCCACATTAAGAATGTAAATGTAACTGCTACGTGGATATATGAAACAGCTGGGTTGGGTGTCCTTAAGAAGCATTTGACGCATTATTTTTTTAATGGAATTATTACCTCTTTGCAGGAGATATGGTATGTATATCGATTTCAGGCATAGGGAACTAGTAAACAAGTACATAGATACAGATAGATGAGTGTAGATTGATCATACGCCTTCATTTGGTACTTACGCTGCCCAGGCTTGATGTTGAAGTGTGTAATAACTTTATAGATCTAAGTACTATATACTGAATGTCATGTAATTGTGGAGGCATTGGAGTTTTTTTATTTTTTATTTTTTGATTATTATTATTTTGCTGTGATGATGTTTTTTTTTCACATGTTTAATGTGTTCCTGATGTTCCACTCGCTTGCCTGTTAATTGTTGTTCATCTTGTCTGGGATGAACAGGTTTTAACAGGTTTTGAAGTGAATATTTTTGAACATGTATAAAGAAAAATACTGTGCTACTTAAATTTGAGAAAAAAAGTCATAATTTACTCTCTTTTGAAAAAATAATTAACATGTTTTTTTGTCTTCGTATGACTCAGTTGTTCACCTTGGATAAGACTGGCCAGAATATAAACCAGGTCAAACTGCCAGATGTTGACCTTGCCCAAAACTGGTCTTGAAAACCAGGTTTAGTTGCCATATGTTGACCTTGCCCAAGACTGGTCTTGAAAACCAGGGCTCTGTAACTTGAAAACATTGCGAATTGTGAACAGCGATATCACCTTTTATATCGAGGCTATTATATTTTTTTTTTGTATTCTGTTAAGAATCTGTATATTTGCAAGCTTTACTGTCTTTTTTGGGCCTCAATTTGCCCAGAAAAATGTATGTTTTTATCAAAACACTGACAGCCAGGGTGCTAATAAAGATATGGGGCGGGTTATGGAATCGAGATGCTTGCGCTTGGTCGCAATTCGCGATGTTTTCAAGTTACGGAGCCCAGGTTCAGTTTCCATATGTTGACCTTGCCCAAGACTGGTCTTGTAAACCAGGTTTAGTTGCCATATGTTGACCTTGCACAGGTCGTCTCTAATACACCCACCCTTCCTTTATCCATCCTCTCCTAGATCTCTTTAGACTATTCATATTGAGGTCACAAAACATGCAAGGTGAGCCAAGGCATAATTCAAGCATGTAATGGAGAGGTGTTGCAGTAAATAAGGCACAATTGTGAAGGTTAACAGAATAAAGATATTTTGTCATTGTATATCACCGAAAATAGGTAAACATTGCTTGGTTGCTTACTTGGATTTTTTCTTGTCTGGATGTACCCCGAGGGTCAGGGTTATTTCAGTGGCATGGATGTACCTCGAGATCGGGGTTATTTCAGTGGCATGTGTGTATTCTGGGGCTCGGAGTTATTTCAGTGGCATGGATGTACGCTGGGGGCAAGGGTAATTTCAGTGGTAAACTCTTTATTTTGTACACAGTAGTCAACATCTGACATGCCAATGTTGAATTAGTTTTCTTGTTATTTTTTATTGCCTGGAAAACACTCCTCAAAAAGAATTAATTTCAGTGGTTATTGATGGTTTTTTTAATGACGGTATTCATACAATATATTTATTGTATGCCAGGATTGAGAGAACTCATAGAAACAAATTATTTGCCTTCATAAATTTTTAAAATCTCCTCATTTTTTAGAGTCTTGCAACTTATGCCTGAAAATTTCATAACATTGTTAGTTGGTGTGCAAATGCCAGTTTCCTTTTCTCAGCCTCTAGCTGATCTTTTCTTGCATTCTGTTAAGAATCTGTATGTTTGCAAGCTTTACTGCCTTTTTTGGGCCTTAAGTTGCCCAGAAAAATGTATGTTTTTATCACAACACTGACAGCAGCCAGGGTGCTAATAAAGATTTCTTGTCTTTGCCATTAGCTGTCAGTGTTCCATCAGTGTTGTGAGCAGCCAGATTTGTTTTAAATGTATTCATTGCATTTATGCCCAGATAAATATTCTCAAGCAAACCAGCATGACTCACTGCTTCCAGACTAGTAATTTGCTTCTCAAGGATGATTCCCTAAGTAAGCTTATTGATATTTTCATCCTTAAAATTCTTGTTTTCTGTGTCATCAATGACTTGGGATAGATCCTGAGAATTTAGGCGGTTTTTGGCAACTTTGGTAAGAATAGCTTTGTTTTCATAGATAGTAATTTATAGACAGAAGCAGAGTAGCCTAGCTTTTAAATATAAAGCTGTTACAAAGAGATGTGTAATCTTCTTTAAATCCCATCGAAGGATGACTTCCAGAAAAAAAATTCTCCTAGAGAGAAGAAAAGGAGTCTCAAGATTTCTCACAGCAAAAATGAAAAAAAAAAATCTTTATTTTTACATTATCATACACTGTTGTAAAATTAATCTGATTTGTGATTTTAACCCTAGACAAAAATTTGGTGGTATAAAAAAAATGCCTCAACTGGCTCAAGCTGGACTTCAGAAAGATTAGAGCAGTTTATGAGAGAGTCTTATAGCTATTTCACTTTACTAAAATATTTATCTGTCGCTGTCTATGGTTTATAATCCACTGGGAAGTGAAGGGTTATTCTGGTACTCACTCACTCAGCAAGGTTGTAATTTGTTCCATGAACATCATACTTGCCAACTTTAGATTTGGTACAAGGGTAGGGTCATGCAGTGGATTTTTTGTTTGCCTCGGTTGACAGGGCATTGTTACAGTAATCTAGGACATACTAAAGGTTCCGTACTACGTCCTAGCATGAATGAATATGCACTCTTGAATGATGACCATGTACTAGCTTAATATGCATATGCATGCAGGCATATGCACATGCACACACACATACAAACACACAGAGAGAGAGAGAGAGAGAGAGAGAAAGAGAGGAGCAGCATGCTTGATAGATGATTTTACTGGCTTTATGTTTGAAATTATTTGTAAATACATGCCATATATATATATATATATATATATATATATATATATATATATATATATATATATACTGCATCATTTTTGAGGCAAAGGATTTTTATTAGTACCACCAGCGTCTACGCTGGCGGTACTCATGGTTTTAGTCCCGACCCGTCTCGTACGGCTCCGCCGGCTCCGCCGGCTCCGTAAGCTCCGTTGGCTCCGCAGGGTGTCGTGGGATACAAGTCACCGTTACCGCTTCTCCTCCTAGACTGCACGGGCCTGTGTGCCCATCTCTTGGATTTAGGTCACATATAATCTCAACTTGAACCCCTGGGTATTTTTGTCTCAGTCGGTGCATTGCCCTTGGCATGACACTCGTTGAAACGCACCCTTGTCAAAATTTATGGAAATTCAATGCGAAATATCTCCCAAACCAAAGGAATTATGGGAAAAATTACTATAGAAGTCTGCCCGAAAGTCATATATGGAGATTCCAAATATACCCTGAGATTTGACTTTTGACCTTTATTTCAAGGTCAAACGGGCCAAAATTTTCTAAAAAACAAAATTTTTGCCGAAAAAAAAATTTTTTGCGCTCTTATTCAGACACCACACAGACTTAACTAATAATATTAATGGAAAGTGTTACCCTTTGGGTCATCTTTCATCTCCGTGAATTTGGGGTCAATCGGTGCATTTTCACGGGAGTAGCGGCCATAAGATATCAAAACTGAAAACTGTCTCTAATTCGGGAACCGTTAATGCTAGACACCCATTCTTTTTTGCATTTTGTAGAGCATGTAAAGCCCAACACTGGAGGTGGTCTCCGTTTTTTTTGTATTCCAAACGGTTTTCGAGTTACGCTTTATCAAAAAGTACATATTGGTGGTGAAAGCAAAATGTGTGGGCTGGGCAAAGCAGACAACTTGTGGTCAAAAATGACATTATTTCATCAAATTTGAACATCTGGAACTTCAGAGCACCTCCCATTTCAAGAATTTTGACCAAAATGACCTTTAGGAAATTTATGGCACACTATGGTAACTCCAAAATTATACCATTTAGTCCCTTATATCTCCAAAACTGGCAGAGATAGGTCCATAGTTACTATTGAAGTTGAATAGGAAGTCATATACTGGCAATCTAAATGTGACCTTAAAATTGACCTTTGACCTACTTTTCACCATGAACTGAACTTTGCAAATTTTNCCCTTCTTTATTTTAATTAATTTTTGCTGTAGGAAATTTATGGCACATTAAGGTAATTCCAAAATTATAACATTTAGTCCCTTATATCTCCAAAACTGGCAGAGATAGGTCCATAGTTACTATTGAAGTTGAATAGGAAGTCATATACTGGCAATCTTACTGTGACCTTGAAATTGACCTTTGACCTACTTTTCACCATGAACTAAACTTTGCAAATTTTGCTTCCCTTTTATCTCCAAAACTGGCAGAGATAGGTCCATAGTTACTATTGAACTTGAATGGGCAGTCATATTCTGGCAAACTAAATGTGACCTTGAAATTGACCTTTGACCTTCTTTTCACCATGAACTGAACTTTGCAAATTTTGCTGCCCTTTCATATCCAAAACTGGCAGAGATAGGTCCATAGTTACTATTGAAGTTGAAAAGGAAGTCATATACTGGCAATCTAAATGTGACCTTGAAATTGACCTTTGACCTACTTTTCACCATGAACTGAACTTTGCAAATTTTGCTTCCCTTTTATCTCCAAACTGGCAGAGATAGGTCCATAGTTTCTATTGAACTTGAATAGGAAGTCATATACTGGCAATCTAAATGTGACCTTGAAATTGACCTTTGACCTACTTTTCACCATGAACTGAACTTTGCAAATTTTGCTTCCCTTTTATCTCCAAAACTGGCAGAGATAGGTCCATAGTTACTATTGAAGTTGAATAGGAAGTCATACACTGGCAATCTCAATGTGACCTTAAAATTGACCTTTGACCTACTTTTCACCATGAACTGAACTTTGCAAATTTTGCTTCCCTTTTATCTCCCAAACTGGCAGAGATAGGTCCAAAGTTAGTTTTGAAGTTGAATAGGAAGTCATATACTGGCAATCTTACTGTGAAATTGACCTTTCATCTACCTTTTGATGAACTTTTGATATATTTTTTTGCATATTTTGAAAATTCTTGTTGATTGTATTTTTACAGCTTGTCAAGCAAAAGACTGGTGGCTGTGTCCCTTATTTTGTGTATGTGGGGGTCTATACGAATGCCCTTGCTCCAGCTGGTGGTACAATATTCGGAGGCGGTATCGCCTCTCTGATCCTCTAGTTTCTTTTTAATTTTTGGAGTTTATTGTTTTTGCTTAATCATTGAAAAGATATTTAAAATGTTTGAAAAAGGATAAATATAATTTATAGGCCTCTTCTATTTTTTCTTGAAACCACATGACATTTTGATATTTTAAAATTTACTTACAGATCCATATTGAAATCCGTACAGGCAGAGAGTAAACGCTAGTCCTTTTGAACTTTTTTTGTTTCTCTTATTATTTATTTATTTTTGCTAAGAATAAAATTTGATACATCAATTTCAAACTTGGTTAAATCACAAAGCAGGTGTGGTTTATTTTGGTTTTAAAATGAACAAATACTGGATGAGAAATTAATTTAGCTTAGAAGAATAGGACCAGATGATATTGTAATATAGTGTGTTAAAATCATTAGAGTATAGATACCTTCTGTAGTGGGACACGGTTGAATAGCAGTAAAGATATTTAGTATTTTGAATGTCATAAAGGATAGCATTGGGATGGACATATTTTTAAATCTTTAACTATTATTGAAGGATGTTGAATGATTGATGTTATATATAAGGCCTATTAAATTATCATAATATTATATTAATTATCATGATATCATAATAAATTACTGTAATATAAGGTAATGCTATCATGATATTATCATAATTTTGTATAAATTATTGTGATATTCTTTTGCAGGTCTGGAATGTCTGCCAATGGAACTCCAGAGAAATTTCAACTTAATGCGGGATTTGGATCAACGATCACAAGGTATATTAACGTGAAGAGCACGTGCAAAATACATTTACCAACAAAACACCTGTGGCGTGTTATACAGGAGAATGCAAGACTGAATCTTGGCCCTGGATTTTAGACTTCAATTTTATTTACAACTTGCAGCACAACTTGAAATAAAGGGATTTTATTTTATTTTTTTTTTTTTCATTTACTCTGTATGAAGATGAGAGTTAAAGCTCTCATAGTTATTTGAATTATAATGAAATTAAAACAATTTTCAGTGACAAATTTCATAATATGTGTACCAGCCTGTGCCTTATTTTAAATTTAATTACAGTAATAACATTATGTGGTTAATTCTTTATTTTAGATGTATTAAAAGACATTGACAAAATGTCAGAAGAATATTTGAAAAACGTCAAACATTATTCGTCAGACAAACGAACAAAACAGATGGACAATATTAAGAAATTATTTGGGAAGAGCCGAGAATACGGAGATGACAAAGTACAGCTGGCCATGCAGACGTACGAAATGGTGAGATTTTGTTGAGATTCTGTTGAGATGCAAGACAAATGGATGACAAAACACTCTAAAAATATCATAAGGCAAAAATGGATCCTGGATTTTACTGTTACTAAGAGGAGAGCAAGAGAATGTATGTGTGTGTGTGTCTGCATGTGTGAGAGGGAAGAAAAAGAGAGAGAAAGAAGAAAAAGAGAGAGAGAGTTCAAGGAAAAAGGTATTAGACAATGGCTGCTATATTTACTGACGTTTTAGTGATAGTAATATAAACAGTGATGGAACAAAAATAGCAGTGAAACAGCTACATTTCCCTTTTATCACAAGAGCATCATCAGGCTAAATGCCCAAAGGTCTTTTGGTGTTGGTACACCAGTGAACCACTCTCACTCAGGATAGTAAGTCACATGGCCAAATGTAAGATACTAGACAAAGATTATTTTAAAACTTTGATATAAAGGGCTCGAGAACAGGGATGGAAAAGGTTGTGTGTTTAATATGTCTATTGGCAACTACACTGAGATCAGTGATATACAAGAACAAGACATAATTTTCTCACTGTTATCCTGTGGGTGTGGTACATTTCAGGTGGACAAACACATACGGCGGCTGGACTCTGACCTTGCAAGGTTTGAGGCAGAGCTGAAAGAGAAGACATTAAATGCCAAGACAGGTGGGGGCAGTCAGAGTACCCCAGGGCCAGACACTGGGCAGAAAAGTAAGTGTACAGAGTAGTGGGTGGGGGCAGTCAGAGTACCCCAGGGCCAGACACTGGGCAGAAAAGTAAGTGTACAGAGTAGTGGACACTGGAATCACTATGGTAATCTTGTCAATGGGAAAAAATGATCAAACTTTCAGATGCATAATTTTGTAGTCATAAAAATTACATTTCTGTATGACATTTGTGGTGTTTTTACTGTATAAAATAGAACTTAAAAGAAGCCTGCTTTTTAAATTTGTTGCTACCACTCAATAGGAATGTTTTCATTTTAAGAAATTATTGCTTTTAAAAATACAGTGTCTGTAAAATTCACAATTTTTATCCCATTAAGAGAACAAGTAATTATGGTAATCTCATATGTTGTTTTGTTCTGTGCAGAGGTTTAGCCAAGTTTTAAGTACTACTACTAATGTTTAAAACTCTTTCCATTGCTGGTTGTTCATGAGCTACAGGATTTTGATTGTGGAGTCCAAAATATTTTTTCTGAGAGCGTAGTCTGGACTTCATATGCTTCAATAATAGAATAATTTATTATGTCCAAAAATGAAATAGGGACGAAAAAAAATATAAAATACGTATGAAGTGTTTAGGATGTTTAGGAAAATGTCCCTTAATATTATTTCAGTATTAGAGACCATTCCCACAGATATTTAGATCGATCTATCCTCCTGGGGAGTCTCACGTAATTGCTGTCAACTTGGCTGGCTTAAATGTCTGTCATGCCTAGTGAAGCTGTTAGGGGGTAATTATCTTTACCCTAGCTGATTCGGTAGGCATGCCAGACATTTAAGCCTCTTGAGCTGACAGCAATTTAGCGTAAACCCCCAGGGAGTTAGGTCGATCCAGATGGATTGATCTAAATCTGTGGGAATGCAGTCTTATAGTTTTTGTTTGGTATAATAATATATGCTTTCTAGCTTGTTTACTGGTGAATCATATAAATTATGCATAATGATCTTAGTTTCATGTGTCAAAATAGTCATATTGTCATGAGTTTCTTGTATTATTATTTAATTATTTACTTGATTATTTTAGAAAAAGGTGACAAATCAGAGAAGAAGAGAAAAAAAGGACAAAAAGATGATTTTGATGATGAAATTCCAAGGAAGAAGAAAAAGAAGAACCAGCCAGTAGAGCCAGAGTAAGTGATAGATTTTTATATAATACGGTAATTGTACCACCAGCGTTAGCGCTGGCGGTACACATGGTTTCGGTCCCGTCCGGATCGTTCCGCCGGCTCTGCCGGACGGCTACCGTTACCGCTTCTCCTCCTAGACGGTAAGGGCCCCCGTACCCATCTCATGGATTTAGGTCACCTATAATCTCAACTCGTTCCACGTAAAATTTGGGCTTTGTCGGTATTGGGGTCTGGGTGTGGCACTCATTACAATGCACCCTTGTCTAAAAATGGCAAAATTAAATGCTAATTATCTACCCTACGGAAGGAGTTATGGGAAAAATTTCTATAGACGGCTTTCCAAAAGTCATATGTGTAGATTTCAAATATACCCTTGGATTTGACCTTTGACCTTTACTTCAAGGTCAAATGGGCCAAAATTTTCAAAAAAATGAAATTTTTTACGAAAAAAA